TTTTGTACAGAAAAGCCAGGGATTTTTTTTTTTTCATGCTAAAATGCCTCTTTTATTTTCAATACCTGTTTCAGTAATAAAGTTCCTTAAGAGAAGGCACATTATATGAAGAACTCCTCCAAACTCGTGTTTGGACATCCAGTGCCCTCTGCCTTGTGGAGGGTTTATGCTTTTGGCTGTCTTTGTTCATTTCCTCTTTTTTTAAAAGAAGAGTGGAAAATATTGGGATAAAATTGAAGACCAATTATTTTTTCATCCTCATTTCCTCTTTAGTACAACGGGTGGGTTCTGACCTCCTGAATAAGGAAGATTGTTTGTGGTAAAGGAAGTTGTCGTGATTAAAAACTCAAAAGCACCACATCTGCAGAAAACGCCTTGGTTTTAATTATTGCCGACTCATTTAAACTTTGTTTCCTCTCACCCGCTTCCTTTTCCACTTCCATGTGCAAGGCAAAACATAAAACTCCAAAATGATGAAACTAAGTAACATCTCCACCTGAATATTGCATTGCAAACCCACTGGTGAATGTTGGAACAAGTTCTGACGTGTCTGACTGGGTACAGAGCGCTGGGCTTTTGCATGTCCCACAGACATGGCACTGAAATGTTCTTTTTTCACCTCACAGGACAGTTTTGTACCTCACAGAACAGTTACTAGAGGTGCTTCTAAGCAACGTGTGTAGAAATCCTGCCCACTTCCTCTGAACATGAGCAGAACTCTGAATTTACTGAATGTGCTCATTGGATTTTTATTTCCAAGGTGCCGTGACCTGAAGAACCTCAGAGTTATTTTCACTGTTGCCATTTGCACTGCTTTAGTTGTATTATAATCCTGTTGTTCTGGCTTTATAGTTCCCTAACTCCTGAAGATATTTTCAATGCAATGGCATAAAGAACATGTCAGTGACATTCATTCTGCTAATGTTATTTAGGTACAATTCATTACTCCACTCCTAATTGTGTGAAGTGGTAGAGTTATTACAGGAGAGAGATTCAGGTGCCTAAACACAGAGCTGTAATGCTATTTTTATTCCTGTCTGAAACCATGTAGACAGGACTGGCAGATGCTGGAGGCTTTTGGTGAAGCAGTAGATGAAGCAGCACTGTAGGGCCACAGACTGATTCTGTATTTGGCCATTTCTTCCCCACAGAGCTCATTTTAAGCTGTTTTTGTTTTTAAAATTTACTTGTGTTGCCTTTTAGTGTAGGTACTTAAGATAAATTTGTTGGTACTTCAGATAAATCCCCTATTTTGTTCTTTTACAATTCTTCCCATTACTGTTTCTTGCTGCCATAAAGGATAAATTCTTTTCTATTTTTTCCAGAGACACCAATGCTGACTGCAATTAAATAAAAAGCTAAATGAGCTCTAAGTTATCTTTAATACATTAAAAAAGTAATTGTCTGTCTAGAAAGCAAATTACCTCATTGCTGTGGTAGCAGAAAGGATTGTGATGATTTTCTGCCCTCATGAGAGTTTTACTTTTTTCTGAACTGCCACAGTCCTTTGCTATGAGCCAGAAATTTCTGTTATTCATTGTTCATGGTACTGCTTCCTACACAAGTAATATTACTATAAATATATATCAATATATAATAGATAATATATAATTATATAAGCATTATTAATATTGCATTTCAGCAAGTTTCCAGTTGGAACAAGAAGCCTATTGCATTTATTGTATATATTGCATAGTTTAATCTAGGTACAGGTATATGCCACTCTCCAGCATTTGTAATAATAAAAATAAACATGTCTAATTGGATCAAAAATTAAAACTTGGATAAACTCTATTTTTGCATAGAAGCAGATACTCAAAATACTGAAAACAATATTTCAAATGCAGAGTTTCTTGGAAAGAATGGGTGTAATATAGGCCAGAAAGATTTTTATCAAAGTGTTTTAAATGTTATGAGAGAAGCAGCAGCGAAAAACTTTTCACTTCAGTTTGAAAGCTCTAAGGAAACATTCAGTGAATATAAAACCTCTTTGAGGCATGGAGGAAATGGAACCAGTGTGCAGTTGCTTGTGCTGCCACACCTTACACAGGGGAGCTGGAGGAAGCTGTTTGTGCTCCAAATAATCTGATTTTCATTGTGTGAAAGAAGCTGCTTACATGAGCTGGGCTTTGCAGATGCTGAATCAAAGGCTCAGCTTGGTGGTGTTTATCTTGCAGCCACAAGTCCAAAATCCCAGGCACGAGGCAGAGTCCCATTGGGAGGGAATGGCACAGCTGAGGTGCAGAAGGGGCTGGGATTTGCTGGGCTGAGGATCTAGAAATAAGCTGGATTGCATCGTGGCAATTTTCACACTTGTCTGTAAAACAAACTTCTTAAATGATGATAAAAGTGGCTTTGAGTGGTGCTGCTTCTGCGAATGAGAAGAAAGCAGCTCTTGGGGCAGAGGGGAGTGCAAACACAGCACTTCTTACAGCAATTAACTTTGTTAATGAGCTTGCAGCTATTTTCCTGTTGTGTTGCACACTTACATTTCCAAAGATTGTGCTCCAAATTATGGCTAAATGCAATGTAAACCACTGATTTTTCTCACTGCAATACCAGTAATTCCTAAATAATGACTTTATTTTATGGGGATTTTTACATAATTTTTTTTTTCAGTTCCAAAAGGCTCAAAGCATTTTAGGACCTACACTACAGTAAGTACAGAACCAGTGTGGTGAGCCAAAATTCACAGAAATAAACTGGAGCATGCAATGGAATTATCTGTGTGGCTAGATGGAAGAAGGAGGGAATTTTGCCTAAGACTTGAAGTCAAACTCTGGAAATTCCAAACAGGGATGTATAATCCAGAAAAGAGCTGTGGGGATCCAATTTAATGGCACTTCTGCTGTCTGCCTTCACCTCTCCTCGTGTGTGTACAGATAATTGATCAAACCTGTTCAGTTTTCTCTTCAAGTGTGAAGAGTTGGGATTAATACCAGTTGTTCTTTGGGCTTCAGGGAATTCAGTCCTTTAGCTGAGCACCTGGATTCAGCATTTATTTCAGTTTGCTTAAACTATCAACAGCATTTATGAAATTACCAGTCTGCTCAGAAATTAATATAAAAATGTGAAACTCTGTCCTCTGCTTCTAATTTAAATTTCAAGCTGCTAGGAAAGAGATGACTTGGCTGTGATTGAAAACCAAGTTTTCAGAAAAACAAATTTGAAATTCTCCTTTTTAATCTCTCACCTTTTGAAAGCTCTTTGTAGTCTATATCTGTTCAGCTTCACTGTGACTCTTTAAATAAAGAAACTAAGTTTGCATCTTGTGCTGTTATAGAATAGCTTGAGATATAAAATAAAGGTAATTTTCCCCTTTTACCTTTTATATAGACTTTTGTAAAGTGTCTTTGTAAGTTAGAAAAACCTAGGATATGCAAGAGAAGGCTAATAAGGGCTTGATTAATGAATACTAGAAAGAGTTCTACTTTTAAATAAAAACCATCCTTGCAGCACAGAATAGATGTAAATCTGATATGACTTTTGCAGGTTTTTATTTCTGTGATATGTAAAAACATCTCTATGAATTCTTCTAATTGATATTCAGTTTAAAAGGATTTTAGGTTAACCTGAAAATATCTTAGTATTACTTAGCTGTAATGTGAGGGTTAAGTTAGGATAAGGACTGAAGTTTTCCACAGTAATTTGTTGTTGTCATTGAGGAAACATTTCCTAGTTCAGAGATATTCTGGTTTATCCTTATGGGATAAGCAAATAACATTTTCTTTTTCTCCATGCTTCTTATTTTGATTGCATTTAATCATATTCTAAATTGTGATGTTTCATTGCCAGCAGTCCCCCAGCAAGATCTTCTCATGGTGTTTTTGTTCCCACATCAAAAGTATTCAAAAGTATTTAAAACTGCACATGCAGAGCTCTGGCCTGACTGCTCACATCCCTCTGCAAACAAAGATACCTGGGAGATTTGTGAATGCTCAGGGTGGAAAACAAACCAAGAGAGTTTCCCTCCTGTTCTTGAACAGAACTTGATGATCAGAAATTGGTGTTCAGAAACACTAAAACCCTGTGGTGTTAGTTCTCAGTGGACAAACACATCCTCAGTGGGAAGCACCTTAAAAATCAGGAATAGAAATGGAGAGTTACAGTGTGATGGGAGTGCAGTAGTTGGTATAAAACAGTTTATACTTTGCAGAAATAATTAAGTGCTGTGGTTCTCTGAAGGTTTTGTGTAGACTGCAGACTTCAGGAGGAGCAAACAGCAGAGTTCTGTCCAGTCACACTCCTGGGGCTCTCAGCTTTTTCCTTGTCTAATCAGAGATTTGTGAACAGTTCAGTGTTTCTATGCAATTGCATTAATATGTGTCTGTGCAGATGTATGATCCTGCTCATATTCTCTACATACATTTTGGAAGCTTTCTGATCACCTACTGGCACAATAATATTGAAATTCATATTTCACCTGTACAGCTACAGAAGAGTTTTAGATAAGGAGATATTGCTCAAATGGGTGTACAGTGCTTCAGTGACCAAATCAAAATGAGGTGTCTCCACTGCTCTGCCATGAACAAAGCAATCAGAATATGAAGGGGATTTTGCTTATTTTATATTAATTAAAAGTAATGGCAGGTATTATAGCTTACAGGAATGTTGGCAGGATTGTCTGGTGTTACTCAAGTTCCAATTTTCATTTGCTGAAGTAACTTTTCGTTGAAATTTTGCATTCTAGATGTCTGCCTATGGAAAATTTCCTTTGAAAATTTCAACCAAAATGGTTCCAATATTCCCCAGAAATGAGATTATTGGAAAGATACTCCTCAGTGTTTTCTAGAGACCTTTAAAGTCTGTAACTATTTAACATTTGAACAGAGCAACTGTACCATATTACCTTATGAACATAGAAGGGGGCTAGTAAGGACTGTATGGATAATCTTAATTCCTGGAGTTGCCATGTTCTGAATGTTTATTTTGTGATCCTGTTTTGTTGCCACGTGGCTGTACACAGTTTAACCTAGGGGATTTGTGTAATTTTGCTTTAGATTATTGGTTGCCAAGTGAGAAGAGAGCCACTGGACTCCACTGAACGATACACTCGCTGGATCAATAACCTCAGCCAGGAGCAGCTCCTTACACAGGTATCTCTGCTGCAGCTGGGCTGAAATTACAGCAGGAAAACAGCACAAGAGCTTTATTTGGATGGATTTTTTTCAGTCATAAGCATAATTGGATAGTTTATTAAGGTTATCAGATTTAAACATTGTTTGTTCAAGAGAAGCCAAGGCTGTGATGCAAGTGATCACTGCAGAGCAATGACCTCACCCTGAGTGAGAATGAAGCTTTCAGGTTTGGAGTGAGCCTCACATGTCTCACTGCTGCCTGTGTTATCTACATATGCTTTCATGTTCTAAAATTATGGTTTTCTTTTCAAAAAGTAGATTTCAATACAAAAGGGAGACAAAAAATCTTTCATGAGAATGGTTGTTCTCCCACCCAAGGTACTGACCACTCCTGTATCTGTTTAAGTTTTGCTTGGGATCATTTTAAAACTGCAGTTCTTCAGGCATTAAACATTGGGCTCATTATACATTGTTTGTAAGTGAGATGCATCTTGTGCAACTGAAGATGACAGTTTTTGGCATAAAGATCAGTTGTTTCATTAGGCAGGAGGCCAGTGCTGAACTAAAATAGAGACTAAAAGAGACTTTGGCAAAAACAAGTTAAGCTGTGGAAGAAATCAATCCAGCTTGTGGAGGAATGTTGTACAGAATATAAGAAATCTAATGGATGGTTTGCAGAAAACATCCCAGCAGGCTTTGAGATCCAAGTATTTGGGCTTGGGTTTTGGGATGCTGTGTTAGAAAGACATTTGGTTTTGATTTCCCTAAATTTAAGTGGTTGAAAAGATTAACATATCCTTATTTGTTAGACTTCATTATACACTCTGTTGTGTTCCACTAACTCCAAAAAATCACTGACAGGCCCTGCTATGGTCATTGTAACACAAGGAGTAATCTACAGACCTTGTTTTAAAATCACCAGTGGTATTACAGCTCCCTGTAATTCACCAAGGCAGAGTAATTACAGAAGAAGTTACCCAAGGAATATTTGGATTTGCCTGTGAGTGTGGCATTAGAAAAAATACAGATTTAAACCAGTGTATTTATCTGACAGCATCTGGATCACTGTTCTGGTGAAAAGAAAGAAAAGTTTGAGCATGTAAGAGGTTGTCCTACACAATTTGAAGCATTTTAGCTAAATGGCCACTTAATGTTTGATGAATTAAGTGGAAAATCAAAACAAATATTGTGATTTTGAGATTAAAAAAAAAAAAAAAAACCACCAAAAACAAACAAAAAAACCCAACCAAAACAAACCCAAAACAAAAAAAACCCCTCATTTTAAATAAGATGGGAATCAATGTGTTCTGGAAGAGATTATTTAGTGTTGTGTTTCCAACAGTAGGATGCAAATATGATGACCTGGGAAGTCCCTTGCAATCTTACACTCTACTAATACCTCTTAAAGCCTTAATAAATGCATTATTTTTACATCTAATTTAGGGGCACACAATTTACAGGTAGATTAGCAGCTCTGGGTCATACACTGGGTTTGGAACCAGCAGAACTTGTGGTGCTTGCCCATGAGTTTAACAAGATAAGCTTTACAGACTGAGCCTATTTGTGTGTTCCTCATTATTTTTATCGTGCTACCTCTTCTCCACTAAGTTGAATGCAGAAACAGAAGTTCCTCAAAGACAGTAGATTTCTGAGAATTCCATGAGTGTCTGAAATTGTGGAGAAATTGGGCTGCACCAGCTCCAACTCACATGTTGTTAAGCACCACAGACTCCCCTTGGAGGGAGATTTTGGGTGCCCAATTATCAGACTTCAGCTGTGACACGAGCCTGGGGCAGCTTGGCTTTTCCAGCTTTGGAGCTAAAAGAGCTGCTTGGTTTCTGTGAGCACGTGGCACTTCTGCTTTTGTAATCTTCTGATTAGAAATTCACAGAGGGGGATAATTATTTTGGTTTTTCTTACTTAAAACAGTGTGGGACAGAGGAGGAATTGGGAGAAAAAGTAAAATTTCAGCTGTGCTCTAATAATCAGGGTATGAATCAATTATCCAAGGTCCCACTCATCTGCCATGATATATCATATGCTTTATTTTGTGTCTATGTGGTTTTTTAAACTCTCTTCAGTACCAAAAAATCTATAATGATGGACCTGTGCTAATGGATTTGTAGAATCTCTGAGAGAAACAGTCCTTCAGGGAATTGAGGAAAATCTGTTTTAATTTACAGCACGTTGTCTGCAGCAGATTCCTGTAGTGAAAGCACATTTAGCTTTTTCAGCTCTCTCTGTACTCAGTGCCCAGCTCTTTCCAGTCACTTCTGCATTTCCACACCATGCACATGCAGATTATTTGTGCTGGGAAGGGGGAAACCAAGTGACCAATTCCAAAAGGAAAAAAAAACAGTTGTCAAGATCATGTTGTTTGTCATAATGTTTGTGTTATTGATCAAATAATTTCCTGTGGCCCTGGACTGCTCTGCTGGGCAGTGCCCAAAGGCAGGTTTGGGAGCTGTGGTTGGAGGCAGATATTTTGGGAAGTGCCCTCAGACACCTCTGTGCTGGATGCTGGGTTTGGTTGGTTTTTTTTCATTTGAGTCAATACCAGATTTTTGGATCAAATGCCCATCCCCGGTCCTCATGCTGAGAGGATCTTTCAATACAAAATGCTGCCAGCATTTTAACTTTTCCCTTAGCCCTGGCCTCTTGATGCTTACTCATCCATTAAATGTTTCTCTAAACAATTATACTGTAACATTCCAAAGATACGTTATGGTATGCGTGAAATTTCAGAATATATACCCCAGAGAGTGTGGTGGGAGTGAGGGAGTAGAAAGAGAGCATGATAATGAAAAAAGCTACTTTTTAAAAGGTCAATATTTGCTTCTTCAATGTTATCTTTTGCATAAATGACAGGTGAGCAAACCACACTTTTATGGGTATCCTGATATAAACCTTAAATACATGTGTTCTGGAAGACTTGCTCTTTCTGGCCAAGAGTTAAAAAAACCAAATAAAAAAGGATAATTGTAACTGTTCAGTAAGTGCAGATCACAGTGACAGGTACAGGAAGAAAATGAGCAAACAAATTAAGAGAATGGGCTGTTTTGATGTTGAAGTAATTGGAAAAAAATGTAGATTAAAACTAATCCAGTGGGATATCCGAGTCCAAATTGTGCTTGTAAATGTGACTGAGGTTTGGTGGTGCAGCCCTTCTTTTACACTGGAAATGTTTACTGGGCTGTGTAAGTGAAGAGTTCTGAATGGTTTTAAGGTTGGATTAATTGCACAAATATTTATGCAAGTCATTTTTAAGGACTGTAAGTAAAAGAGCTGAGTTCATGTCCACATCTGTTAAATCACTGCTTGAGGCTAGTTTAGTCTCTCAGCCTGTGAAGTATTCTGTTCAGCCTGAAGCACAGTCCCATCTCACCTACCATTTTCCTCCTCCAAGACAAGACATTTCCACCCCTTCACGTGGTTTTTGACTTAGGAAGCAGGCAGTAAACTCAGGGTGACTCGTGAGGAGACTCCTGCCAAAAGGAAGGGCCTGTGCATGATAAGGCTGGACTGGAGATAAATAACTAATGTAGATAAATAACTGTCTGAAAAAGCCTCAGTGATTCTGCATGACTGTGTCTGTATGACTTCCTGGTACATGCTGGACTTTGCAGGTTATCTCGGAGCTCTGGGTGTTGGATAAATCTGGAAATTGTCACAGGTGATTTGTAGTTCTTAGCAATAATCCCTGCCAACCACCTGACAGAAGAGCAGTAATTAACATTTCATAGCACACGTGTCTCTGTGCTCTAAAAGGTGCCTGTTACATTTCACTGACAGCTTTTAAAGCTGTGCTTTTCTACTTACTAACTCATCCTTTATTCAAGTTTAATTAATATTTGGTAAAGATTCATGCTACAAATCAGCATTTACTACAGATGCTCAATTTGGAAATAGCTCCAGCATTGTGGTGGAGTCAGAGTGTACAATTTATTTTAAAGGCAAGAAGGACCTGACAGCATGGCTGGACCTTTTCTTTCCATCAATTCAGTGCACTTAAGATCCCATTATCATCATGTAGCTCAGTAAGGAACTTCTCAGTGGTCAAAAGCTAGATTGCAAGTAGGATGAATTTTCCAGGGGGACCACGGATTGAATATCTCTGGCTTACAGCAGCTGTTTTGTCTACCTGCAGACAGAAAATTCCACTTTATTACTGCTTGGGTTGGCTGTCCATGTGTCACAACTGAAATAATAATCAAGGCAGCAATCTGACAGTGGCTGTATGCAATGCCTGCTGTCTGGTTATGTTAGTAAAGGCAAAAACTGGCCAGAGGGAAAGGCTTTCTTACTTAAGAATGAATAAAACATGAAAAGGCTGATTGAAATCCCCTCCACCCTCCCCCTCCCTCCCTCCCCCCATCTTTGCCACTATTAATGGTTCACTTGTGTTTGTTGTCTTTCAATGAAAAGATACTCAACACTTCCTTGGGATTTTTTTTTTTTTGATCACTGTTTCCTCTTCCTTGACCCATATTATCTAAAAATGTGGCATTAATAGTGAAACCCTGATGTTTTTCTGCTGAATGAAAAAGTTAAAGTTGCTGGTTATTGCAGCAGATTCCAGCAGTAATCTGGAATGGGTATTTGTATGGGATTGAGCCTGTACCATATTAAAAAAAAAACCCTACTGGCTGCTTCCTTTTGTGGTTGGTTGATCCTTGTTCTCCTCTGGAGGAGAATGAACCAAAGTTTCACAAGCTTGACAGTGTTTATATTTACATGTGAAAATACATGTCAAAGGGTTCATGGAATTCTAGAAAGTTTAATGAGAAGTGGCTTAGCCACATCTGTGAACTCAAAGCACAATTAGAACTTCCCAGCGAGGCTTTATGAAAAGGCAGCTCAGGGTCACATATTTTGAACTTAGAAACAGGTTTGCTGGAATTCAGAAATGTATACAGCTTGTGCTTTGTGTGTGTGCAGTTTTGCATGAGTTTAAAGGTGTCCCATAGGGGAAGGAGGAGTGTTAAATAACTTGTATTTTTCCTCTTCATATCTTGCTT